TATTCAAAATAAACTTACCAGAGTGGGAGAAAGTGTCCCAGACGCTTGGAGTCCTTCCGTCGTCATCAGCAGCTCCTTCCCACTATATCCCACAAAATCCAAAATATCGTAAGAAAAAAAAAAAAAAAAAAAAAAAAAAAAACTTAAAACGAAGAAGAAGACAGAAGAAGAATCGAGCCTGATAAGCAGAAGCGGCGGCTCCAAAGAGGAAATCATCTGGAAAATCGTTTCTGGTAAAGGCATCGCTGTAGCTTACTGCTAAAACGATGACCAGACATTCGAAAAACAGAGAGAAAGATTGCATTTTTGTTTTCCTCCTGACATCTGAGTTCGGGAGAGTATAAATAATTCAAGGGTTTAGTCGTTTTCTTGGATCTTTCCTTTTCCTTCTTCCACTCGTTTAGTGTGACACGACATATATGTGAAGAAGACTAAAGAAGTATCTTTTTCGGTGAAGTGTGTTCCTTGTGATGTGACTGGTTCTTTTATTTCTAAGATCTTTTCTGTATTCAATTGGGAAGTCTCGAATAAAAAAAGACTGAGTGGAGTTTTGTTGTTTGATTTGGTTACCTCTTGATTTTTTCCTTCTTTTCTTAATATCTATTATGACATAATTACCTCTTGAGTTAGGCAGACGACCAAATATCTTTTCACTATAGAATTGGTTAGTTACATGACAGTGGAATGGACCATTCCCAACATAGACAGCACATGCTTAGTATCTTTTATTTCACCTTTTAAGGGGAGTGTCCAAACAAAAAAGCAGATTTTATTTCTCCTTTGCGTAACCGAATAGTTAGATTCTTTTTTTTTTTTTCTACTGTGAAGAAAGACTAAAATAAAATAAAGTGCGCATCCAGGGAATCGAACCCTGGTCAGTACCGTGGGAGGGTACTATGATACCACTACACCAGATGCGCTTTTGGTTACTGAGTCTAAGACTTGTAAATATATATATGTATATAAACAAAATAAATTTAATAAGTTTATGAGCTGATTGGGCCTTCACTGACCAATTTATGTCAATGGTAAAAGAAAGCCTTAAAGCACCAGAATTGCGGTGACCGTGTGAATCTGTGAGAGGGCTTCGTTTGCGGTGACATTTATAGTTACGTACTATTAGTATTACTCGTACATATACACATGCTTTCCAGTCAAAACAATTTGTGTATCTGAAAAAAAAGTGTGTATATTATACAAATAATCTCTTTTTCGGTTTGGTATAAGCTCGTTTCAATACGAAAATTAGAGACCACAGCCACTTTTTTTCTAGGTTAAATAGACTACAGCCACGATTACCTTCTCTCAATGTGGTTTACCTCTAGAATCTAAGAGACAATTATTGAAATTTTGTTAGAAGGCTTTGTTTGAAGCCGAAGTTTATCCCCAATAGATATTAGATGTATGAGTATGAGTAGTTAGAGACATAGATTGGTTGTTAGTTTGTTACAAATTAGCACAATTTTCATTTTACTCTCTTGACCTGTGGTTATAATTTCCTTTGCCAAAAGCTTCAGCTAATGCAATATCTCAACTCATTAGTTTATCTATCGATATCTTCAATATATCAATTTACCCTTTCTTTACGCTCTATCTTCCATACCACCAACTAAAATCAGTTGAGAGTAAGACAATAATCTTTAAATCTGAAGAGGAATTTAGAGTACTAAGAACTCTCAATTCACAAACCAACCCCACGAAATAAATCGCTAATAGTAGTACCTTGAAAGAGACGTAGTGCTCTAACCTGTCTGTTCTCTTTTGTAGTGCTCCCTTGTTTTTTATTCTTTTTTGCCAAGGTGGTACAAATCTTATAGATTTGCTTTTTGTAAAATCTATCTTTCATTTTTAATGATATTTACAGTTGTAGGAAAAAAAAAATCGCTAATAAAAAGGAGATACATACTGTTTGATCCCAAACAAAAAAAGGAAATACATACAACTAAATTGTGGTCATAACTAAATTAATAATATAATTAATTCTTACCGAACCAGATAAATCATGTTAATTACCCCACGTAATGACGAATATAGAAGTAGCTAGTGGTTTAGAAAAACTTATCAATATACCATTTATACCAAAATAAGCTAAACTTATAGTATTAACGTATAGGATCCTCAACAATACAAATTCTAATTTAACCACATGATTAATTACAAAAATCAAGTACTACAATGAAGAAAATAAAATTACAAACCTGTATATAAAGCTAAGTTATTGCGTACATGCGCTTCGAACACAATAACTATCAAAGAAACAAAAGGAAAATTATGTTTAAACTCTGTATTATCGCTCTCGTATTTCTTATTGCATCATCAAGAATAGATGGAAGCTGGCCGGTTAAATACGATGATCCTAGTTGCTCAGGGAATATATCAGTGACCGATGTTGATAGAGTTCAATTCGCGATGAACTTGGAGTTCACCGAAGCCGAGTTCTTCTTGAAAGCGTCTACCGGAAAAGGACTCGATGCGTTCAACGCAACACTTGCTAAAGGCGGTCCAGCCCCGGTTGGTGCAGAAAAGGCCAATCTTGATCCTATAACTAATCGAATCATCGAGGAGTTTGGTTATCAAGAAATTGGTCATCTTCGGTAAATGATCAATCTTTCAACGATTAATGGTTAAAAAATGGAATTTTTTTTTTTGAAGATGAATTTTTTTGTTTTTATTGAAGAGCGATTGCAGATATGACGGGAGGGATTCCGAGACCGCTGCTGAATCTGACGAGAGAGAATTTTGCCATGTTTATGGACCGAGCGGTTGGACGTAAATCAAACCCGCGGTTCGATCCTTATGCGAACTCACTAAACTATCTTTTAGCTTCATACTATATCCCTTATGTTGGCCTCACCGGTTATGTCGGAACCATCCCTTACCTTGTCTCCTTCAATATCAAACGGGTATTACCTATTATCCTGATTAATTATACGAATATAATTTTATAGCAAAATTACTTTAGAGTATTATGTCATATTCAAAATCACATATATAATTGGGTACTCTACTGCTATATTCACGTTATATAAGTTACACTAGCTAGAGATCATAGTAGTGATTCGTATGATCGAATTAATTAATCAGCTTGTGGCCGGTCTTTTGGGGGTGGAATCGGGCCAAGACGGAGTGATTAGGACGCTCCTTTACGAGAGACAGGACGAGACGGTGAAGGAATACGGCGGAGTAACGGTGGCTGAGCTGACCAATGAGATATCTAACCTCCGTAACGAGCTCGGTATGTGCGGGATCAAAGACGAAGGCTTGTGCGTGCCACCGTGGCTAGGAGCCGAGAATCGCACCAGCAGCAACATCCTCGCCGCCGATCCCTACTCTCTCTCTTATGACCGGACACCGCAAGAGATCCTCAGGGTTATGTACGGAACCGGCGATGAGCATCGTCCCGGCGGGTTTTGGCCGTGTGGTGCCAACGGGAGGATCGCGAGGATGTTTCTTGATAAAGGGTATTATGGTCATTGCGGTGCATGTTCAGCTGACAATTAAATTCTACTTTCATTGATAGACTACAAAATAAAATAAAATACAGGGTTAAGCTTCTAATATTTATCCTCATTAAATTTGATAGTGTGGTGTGGTGAACCGTGAACCGTGAACCGGTGGTTAAACTCTTCTAGTTTTTCTTATCGGTGTTTAAGAAAATAAACAACCTCACGTTTCTATTTATGCTATTTTTTGGCTTCCCTTCCCAAAAGCAAATTTGATGATATAAAAACACAATTCCTGAATTTGTTTTGGTGAAATTAGCTGAATCTAAAAAATAAAGAAAGAGAGACTTCAAACGAACATGACAGTAAAAAAGGTAACGTTTGCCAGTAAGATATGAACAATAATACGTCCAAACCAATAATTTGTATCGGCCATTAAGTTGTTACACGTACACATACATCTACAAGTATAATCGACAGATTTCAAGAGAAACTTTTTGCTTTTGTTTTTTTTGTTTTTATCAAAGGTTTAAGAGAAACTTATCAATATATATTTTCGTGAAATGGCTTTAAACTTTTTCATCGTCAAAAATATATTCGAATTATTTGATAAGGACGAAGACGGATGACTTCAAACGGATGACTTCAAACGGATGACTTTCTCTTGATCTTCGTTTAGGGTTTTTCGTCTCTTTAGGGGAAAATATTTAAAGTTATAGAATAAGTTAAAGGAATTTTAAGAATAACGAAAAAAATGTTCATGAAGGCAAATTTTAGAAATGACTAATATTCTTAAGTTTTGGGTAAAGCTTTAAATTTTAGAGAATATCGGGGACACAAGTATAACCCAAAAGTCACGGGAACTTTTGAGCATTTATTTAATATTCTAAAATTACAAGGAACATATGTAAATAAACAAAAGCGTTGGCTGAACCAGAAATCATGAACGTTTATGTCTCTACAAGAAAATAATTTCAAAGCCGATTATGAGATTACGTCTACAATAAACTGATCAGGACAAATCATTAAATACTCCTCCATACACGACTCCACCATCAATGGGAGATCAAAATCATAGTACAACTTAATCAAGGAAACTACAAACAAATAAGAAAAAAAAGGAATGAAACATAATGTGTGTCCCTAAAGTTAAAAAAAAATGAAACAATATTCTACCTCCCTCACGTCGTCGTCGTCGTCGTCGTCGTCGTTGTGGTGAGCTTCTTCACCGCTTTAAACGGCGGATGAAGCAGCCCAAACTCGTCCTCGGCATCGAGGGGCCGGTCCGTCTGGTTGCGCGTGGGTTTAACGCGCCGGCTCCCAAGCGATTTGTGCGTGAAGCCGTACATCTGAAGGATCTGATTGTCGCCGAAATTAAAAGCTCTATCCATCTGCCGGAGACACCTTTCCACCGGATAATCGCCGAATTTCCCGCACGGTTTGCATCCGACGAAATGCGTGACCAGTGGCCACCGATGGTCTCCGAAACCCGGTTTATGGTTCTCGATCATCTCCTCGTACCGGTCCACCAAAATCCCCCAGTAACCGTGCAAGTAATAACCACTCTCCAGATAAACTTTGCCTCCCCATTTCTCTCTCTCCGTCGCCAGGAGGTAAACCATCGCCGATTGATCGTCGGCTTCGAACGCGGGTCGGTCTTTAAGTTCCCGGGTCAAGATTTTACCCGCTTCTTCACGGATCTTCCCTTTAGGGCCCATCGGAGCCCAAGCGTCGAGGAGATCAAGCGCCCACTGGGAGTTCCTGAGCAAGAAACTCCCCGTGTTGAGACCAATCCAGTTCTTCTGGTCGTAAACCATCTCGTTCCAACCGTGCATCACGAGGTTGTAATCCTTGTATCTCTCCCATGGGAGCTCGAACACCATGTCCGTAAACATCGCATCACTGTCCATCCACCATAGAAACTCGATCTCAGGATGAGACAAGAGCAATCTCCGGATCAACGGAAGCTTAGCCCAGAACCCAGCCATCTCAGCATCCAGCAACGCCATGTTGTAGAAGATCTCGATTCCGTGTGTTCGACAGTAATCGATTTTGTTCTTTATCGATTTCAAGAGGTAGTGGTCACCCACTGGATTCTCGCACGGCTTTGGAGCTGAACCTGTGACAAGAAGAACCCTAGGCTTGTTTGGCGCCACGAAATTTGGGAAACTCGGGTTTTGCTTGAGCCAATCATTCCTCTGCTCATCCCAATTGGAGATCTTGGGCCCCAGGGAATACGGTTTACTCCGGTCTTCTTCAGATTTCTCTTCATCTCCTTCGTCAACGAATATCTTGTTGATGTCGAAGCTCTCGTAGTTGTTGCCATTCCCGTCTCCGTCTTCAGAGGACGACGTCGTTTTGGTTGAGACCTCCACGAGGACACGGTGGGGCTCGGCGCGTTTGCGCGTGTAGAAGAAATGCTCCCGGATCTCCTCGATGTCTTGCTCCGGCGTGCCGAACTTACCGGCTCCGATTGTGCCACGTAAGACGACGACGGTGAGAACGAGGCAGAGAAGCGTCACCTTTCCTTGACGCCAGACTCTCTGTAATCTCCGAAACCGATGCGTTCCTATGCAATTCTCTATCATCCTCTTCTGGTTTCGACCCACACACAGATCTGGTCCCGATTCAGACACAATACGAGATCTCAGAGACAATCAGGGGAATTAATTAATGGGAGAAAAAAAGATATATTAGGAGATTTCTGGTGTTTGTAATGTGTAATCACGACAAGAAAAAATTAAGATTTATACGCGTTTTGGAATTCTACCTTCGTAAAAGGAAGGATCAACGAAGATAATTCTAAAAGGTTCAAAAGAAGGAAGAAAAGAATTAAATGGAGATTTACAAATGAGCTAAAGAAGTAAAATAATCATACTAAAATAATATTTGAATATTTTTGTGAAATGTCAGACAGAACATGCCTGCCTGTCTGGACGCGTAATCTTGGTGCGGATCAGAGTAAGTAGTACTAAAGTGGTAAAACTCTTGGGATATTCGCTTTCTTTAGTTGGGCCCTAATAATCTAAAGCCCATTTAGCCCGATTAAAAATTGCGGCCTAAATTACAGGTATACTGTTTTCGTAACAAAAAAACGGTAAGTCGTTGGTTGATGGAGGAGATAAAACAGCAATCGAAGGTTTGGAATTGTTGTAACATTAAGCTCACACAACTGTCCGGATCAAAATTAGAGCGCCAACAAATACTAGACGCTAAATAATTTTACCGTTTGGGATTAATTAACGGCCTTTTCTGTATAGAAAAATTACTATAAATTGATGTGTCCATGTTTACTTTCATTTCAGGGTTTAGAAAAATCACAAAATATATTTAGTAGAAAATCAATATTCTGAATCCTCTCTGATTAAAAAGGGAGGGTCTCCATCAATGGCGGCGACAATATACGGCGTCAAGAGCATTTTCTTGTCAGCGGCGGTTGTGATATTGTTCGCTAGCCGTTATGGAGGCGCCACGGCGGCCAACAGGGGATACATTAAGTACAAAGATCCAAACGCTGCGGTTGAAGAGAGAGTTGAGGATTTGCTAACACGCATGACTTTGCCTGAGAAACTTGGTCAAATGTGTCAAGTTGATCGATTCAATTTCTCTTTTTTCCCCACGGGACCAGAAATCTTCACAAAATACATGATCGGTATGTACAAATTATAACAACAATATTTTTCTATATGTATATATCCAAGTTTTGAGATATAAAAAACGTTTTGATGATGAATAATTTTCTAATAACTGAATATTTGATGCACGCGAGTATAGGAAGTGTTTTGAGCAATCCGTACGATACCGGGGCAAGTCCACTGAAGCGGGTGGCCGTATCGAACACAATGCAGAAATTGAGTCTTTCGACGAGGCTCGGAATCCCTCTGCTTTACGCTATTGATGCTGTTCATGGCCACAACACTTTTATCAATGCCACCATTTTCCCCCACAACGTCGGTCTTGGTGCCACTAGGTATATATATATGTATATTCTTAAATCGATGTAACGTAACTTATAATATATATAGAATTCTGTACATATACGCTGAATTAAAAGTGGTGTAATTGATAGTTTAATTGTATACGTACTGAACACTGTACTGATAGGTCTTGTGGTTGTGAATGCGTGTTTGTTGTAGGGATCCTGAACTTGTTAAAAAGATTGGAGCTATAACCGCGCTTGAAGTGAGGGCTACAGGAATCGCTCAAGCTTTTGCGCCTTGTGTCGCGGTTATTAATTAACCTGGCTGTCATTTTGTAGAGAGATACGTGAAAATATAGATCTATAGAATTTTTCTAACTCGGGTCGGGAAATTGAATGGAACAGGTTTGCAGAGATCCTAGATGGGGAAGGTGTTATGAGAGCTACAGTGAAGATCCTAAAGTTGTGAATATGATGACTGAAAGTATCATGGATGGGTTACAGGGAAGTTCTCCTTACTGCAGTGATCTCAAGTAACCCCAAGAACTCATGCTAATTAGTTTTGAATCTACATACTTTAATGATCTTGATCCCCTAGAGTTAATTAACTAATAATTGTGAAAATGCATGTGTGGCCAGGACAAAAGTGGCTGGTTGCGCCAAACATTTTGTTGGGGATGGAGGAACAGTGGATGGAATCAATGAGAACAACACTGTGGCTGATAACCATACTCTCTTCGATATCCATATGCCTCCCTTTGAGATAGCAGTAAAGAAAGGGATCGCATCCATCATGGCTTCTTATTCTAGTCTTAACGGTGTTAAGATGCACGCAAACCGCGCAATGATCACTGATTACCTCAAGAACACCCTCAAATTCCAAGGCTTTGTTATCTCTGATTGGCTTGGTATCGATAGGATCACAACTCCACATAAAGCAAATTACACTTATTCTATCGAAGCTTCCATTAATGCCGGCATTGACATGGTTCGCACTCTCTTATTTTTTTCACTTTCAAGAATCTAGAAATGGGCTCTTGATATATATATATATATGTTTAGATTCTGATTTGATGGATTTTAAAATGTAGGTTATGGTTCCATTTGAGTATAAAGAGTTCTTGGAGAAATTGACAAAACTAGTGAACGGTGGATACATCCCTATGAGCCGTATAGACGATGCTGTTCGAAGGGTCTTGAGAGTCAAATTCTCTCTCGGTCTTTTTGAGAAGCCATTGGCAGAGGAAACTCTTGCCGCTGAGTTTGGATCAGAGGTAAATTTAAAAGAGACTTTTTGACCATGTCAAGTTTTTGTTTTAGATACATAAATTTTTAAATTAAAATACACATTATTTTATTAAACATCTTAAAGAGTTAAAGGAACAAGTATTTATATGATATAGGCCATGTGAAAAAAAAAAATTTAAAAATACGTCACCATTTCATAAAGCCTTGAGAAAACAAATTATCACGGAGATAAAAATTATATAAAGGAATGCAGTTAGTGATCTTTATGGGGATTAGTTATTTTTTTTTATATAAACACAATTGTTAGTCTTATAATAATACCTAAGTGATGTGTGATTCTTAACACAACGATGCAGGCGCATCGAGAAGTAGCGAGAGAGGCGGTGAGGAAATCAATGGTGCTTCTAAAGAATGGGAAGACAGACGCCGATAAAGTTGTTCCGCTCCCAAAGAAGGTGAAAAAGATCGTTGTCGCTGGCCAACACGCTAACAACATGGGTTGGCAATGTGGTGGCTTTACTCTCACTTGGCAAGGATTCAACGGAACCGGAGAAAATATCGGCCGTAACAAAGCATTGCATCTCCCCACCGGTAAAACCAGAGGTACGTAAGAGATATATCTTGGTTAATTTCGCGGATCTATTATTATATTAATCGAGATTTGATAGTACTATATTATATAGGGATAACTCATTCTAACATGTTTTGTTGCAAAACATATATATAGGAACTACAATCTTGGAAGCCATCAAGAAAGCAGTGGATCCCACCACTGAAGTTGTCTACGTGGAGGAGCCAAACCAAGATACGGCCAAGCTTCACGCCGACGCAGCATACACAATTGTGGTCGTAGGTGAAGCTCCTTACGCAGAGACACAAGGGGACAGCAGAACGCTAGGCATAGCCGATCCAGGTCCAGACACGCTAAGCCACACGTGTGGTAGTGACATGAAGTGTCTAGTGATCCTAGTCACAGGACGTCCTCTCGTGATCGAGCCTTACATTGACATGATCGACGCTCTTGCAGTCGCTTGGCTTCCAGGAACCGAAGGACAAGGAGTCGCTGATGTCTTGTTTGGTGATCATCCCTTCACCGGCACGTTGCCTCGGACGTGGATGAAGAGCGTTGTTCAGCTTCCGATGAATGTTGGTGACGAGAACTACGATCCTCTCTTTCCCTTCGGATTCGGTATCAAAACATAAATCAATAACCAAAACCTTGTATCATGTATGTAACTATGTAAAAAAATCTCAAGTGTGACGCTTATTCAACGACTCTTTTATACTTTATGTTCACTACTCTTGATCATATAATTTAACGACTCTTTATACTACTCTTGATCATATAATTTATACTTTATGTTCACGACTCTTTAGCAACCAACAATAACAACTTGTTCACGACTCATGTTTATTTTATAATGGGCTTGAGCCCAAACCCTTTGTCTTTTCTATAAATTTTTTTTTGGTATGCTTGTCTTTTCTATAAATTGTGACCCTTTCTCTTTTCTTTCTTTAAATATGTGAAAAGAGTAAAACAACAAGATTCTCATTTTGAGGAAAAATGTTTTTGTGAAATTGGAGAGAAGACAAGAGACCACGTGATGGCAAAACGGTCATATGCAGTGTCGGGTTACTGAGAGTCGTTGATATTAACGGAAAAGGGTCCTTTTAATTTATCTCTCTAAATAGCTAAGCGTTTGATAAATCATCTAAATTTAGTGTCAATATGTTAAACTATCCTCAAAATATCCGCTTTTGATGTAGTGTGATTAACAACGATCGATGATAATGATTAATGTCTTGCGTTAATCTAGACTATCTAGTAATTCTATACAGTGTGTTGAAAAATGCTTTATCTATAATTATGTAAATGGGAGCAATAATGCATCACTTTTTATTATTTATTTCTGAAAATAATATACCTTTTGGTAGATGATGGAGACGTGTAGTGTTTCTCGAGTAAATTAAACACGTGAGGAAATTATATTGAGTTTCACTCTACAATGATTAATCTCGTTCGAGGTTTAAAAATTTGTGATACTAATATTAAATCAGTTTCTTTATACAAATAGATCAGCGAGCATGTTCTCCTTTCAATATGTTTTGTATCAATTGTATTATTATGTATAGAGAATAGAGACTATAGATCATTGAACTATGAAAAAAAAGTTGATATACCTAAGAGCATGTACATTGGAGAAATTCTCTTTGAAGTTTCTAAGAATATAAAAATAATTTTTTAGGATATATGAATAGTGAAGGATCTGTTTGAGTTTTGTGTTCCCATTGGTGAATCCTTCACTAACAAACCAAAAAATGGTTGAGAACAAAATAGTTGAGATGGATCCAAAAATTTTTTTGAGTAGAAACCAATGATCAATCAACAGGTGCCTTAAAAACCCATTAAAACTGCTCCTTAAAATCTTTATATAAGGATCGGTTTATAAGTTATTGAGCTTTTTCTATTTCTTTTATTTCATTTTACCTAGGTTTTTGGGCCAAAAATCTCTCTAGAACTGCTGATGGACATAATCTAAGTCCTAACTACTGAACTGGAGTGTTAATAATAATACAATAGAAAGAAAAGACAACTGAGCAGAAGAGAATCAATTGCGTTTCCATGAATGCATAAGCATAGGTCCAAGAGAAGGAGTTTGGCCTAACCACAGATTGGATGTTTCTATAAAAATAAAGAGGTCACGCATGACATACCACTTTAGTAATACGATTACATTTATAGAACAACTTATGTCATTGGACTGTTATGTATATGATTGGGCAGATTTACCGAACCGAACAAAAGTTTGATTAGTTTGATTTGGTTTCTCCATTTTACCTTTCTCGCGTGACAATTAAAATTTTGTTAATCGTCATTATATTTAGGGAACTTTGTTAATGTACAAGTTCATTATATTTTTACTCTCAATTGCTACAGGTGTGTCTATTGGAATGTCGTCAATTTTCATAAATATAAAAAGAAGAATGTATACAAAAAGAAAAGAAAACTAATAACGTCACATGACTCACATGGATACGAATTGTTTAAGAGAGAAAGATCTCTCCACTATAAATTAAATCATTCAAAAGCGACATCCATTTTCTTCCAAAGTCACACTCACACTCTCCCAAGTCCAAGATTAGGCCTTATATTTTATTCGTTTCCCAGTTCCACTCAATTTATATAACTCATCTCTTCACCACGTGTCCTGCACATACAGTTTTATACCCCTTTTGTCTTCTTCCTCCAGTCGGCTAAGTAGATTTTGATTGATTCAAGTTCAGTATAAACTATGGCATAGCAGCCTTGTGTTTTTTTTTTCCTTAAAAAAATCAGAAAATAGAAAGTTACATGATACATCTATAATAACAAACAAACCAAACAGAATCAGAAGTTTATTGGGAAAATGTGGTGGCTTTCTTCTTCTTCTTGGGTCTCTGATCTCTCCTGTTCTTCCTCGGCAGCCATAGACCAATCTTCATCTCTTCCGGCTCCACTCCAATGGCTGAGATTCGTTTTCCTATCCCCTTGCCCACAGCGACTTCTCTCCTCCGCAGTCGATCTCGTCTTCCTCCTCATCCTCCTCTTCTTCGCTATCCTCAAGCTCTCTTCTTCTTCTTCTTCCACAGAAGCTGACATCAGGAAACCTCTAATCGCAAGAAGAAGTGTAACCAGAGTAACCGTACTGTTCAAAACGACAATCTTAGCCACTCTTCTCCTGTCGTTTTGCTCCGTAGTGCTCTGCGTTTTGGCCTTCACTACCCGGACTCGATTGAAGCTCGTTGACGCTCTGTTTTGGCTGATCCACGCCGTTACTAACGCCGTCATCGCCGTTTTGGTTCTCCACCAGAAGAGATTCGCATCTTCCAATCATCCTCTATCCTTGCGAATCTACTGGGTTTCCAGTTTCATCGTCACTTCTCTCTTCACCGTCTCCGGGATTCTCCACCTTCTCTCCGGCGACCCCTCCGCCGCGAGTCTCATAGCAGACGACGTCGCTTCCTTCGTCTCCCTCCCTTTAACCGCCGTCCTGCTCATCGTCTCCGTCAAAGGATCCACCGGAGTAGTAATCACTGGCAGTGTCGCGATCCCGGCTAAACCAGACGACGCCGTTTTAGACAAATCCGAAAACGTCTCTCTGTACGCATCGGCGTCAATTCTGTCGAAGACTTTCTGGGTATGGATGAATCCGTTGCTGAGCAAAGGCTACAAATCTCCATTGAATCTCGAGCAAGTCCCGACTCTGTCTCCAGAGCACAGAGCCGAGAAGCTCGCGATCCTCTTCGAATCGAAATGGCCCAAACCGGAAGACAAGTCGAGAAACCCGGTTCGCACCACTCTCCTCCGTTGTTTCTGGAAGGAAGTCGCACTCACGGCGGTTCTAGCCATCCTTCGTCTCAGCGTTATCTACGTCGGTCCGGTTCTCATCCAAAGCTTCGTCGATTTCACTTCCGGCAAAGGATCCTCTCCGTCGCAGGGTTACTACCTCGTTCTCATCCTCCTCCTCGCGAAATTCGTCGAGGTCTTGTCGACTCACCAGTTCAATTTCAATTCCCAGAAGCTAGGGATGCTCATAAGGTCCACTCTCATAACCGCTCTCTACAAGAAAGGGTTGAAGCTAACCGGCTCGGCTCGTCAGAATCACGGCGTCGGGCAAATCGTGAATTACATGGCCGTCGATGCACAGCAGCTCTCTGATATGATGCTCCAGCTACACGCTATCTGGCTCATGCCTCTGCAGGTCGCTGTGGCTCTTGTGCTTCTCTACCGTACACTTGGACCTTCTGTGGTGACCACAGTCATCGGTTTGACCGGAATTTTCGTGTTCATCCTCTTGGGAACGAAAAGAAACAACAGGTTCCAGTTCAGCCTGATGATGAATCGCGATTCGAGGATGAAAGCAACCAATGAGATGCTCAATTACATGAGAGTGATCAAGTTTCAAGCTTGGGAGGATCATTTCAACGAGAGGATTCTCAAGTTTAGAGAAATGGAGTTTGGCTGGCTATCCAAGTTTCTCTACTCCATCGCTGGGAACGTCATCATGCTGTGGAGCACACCGGTCTTGATCTCGGCTCTCACTTTCACAACCGCGGTTTTCTTGGGAGTTAAGCTAGATGCAGGAACGGTTTTCACCACAACCACCATTTTCAAGATACTCCAAGAACCGATCAGGACCTTTCCGCAGTCTATGATCGCTCTTTCGCAGGCGATGATCTCTCTCGGAAGGCTCGACGCTTACATGACGAGCAGAGAGCTATCGGCAGAGACTGTGGAGAGGAGTCAAGGCTGTGATGGGAATGTCGCTGTCGAGATCAAAGATGGAAGCTTTAGCTGGGATGATGACGATGACGAGCCTGCAATTGAAGACATCAACTTTGAGGTCAAGAAAGGAGAGCTCGCTGCGATTGTAGGGACTGTTGGATCAGGCAAATCTTCGTTGCTAGCTTCGGTTCTCGGCGAAATGCACAAACTTTCAGGCAAGGTTCGGGTTTGTGGGACAACAGCTTATGTAGCGCAGACATCGTGGATTCAGAATGGAACGGTTCAAGACAATATCTTGTTTGGTCTTCCTATGGATTCAAGCAAGTACAATGAAGTTCTCAAGGTTTGTTGTTTAGACAAAGATTTGCAGATGATGGAGTTTGGAGATCAGACTGAGATTGGGGAACGCGGAATTAACCTTAGTGGAGGTCAGAAGCAGAGGATACAGCTTGCCCGAGCGGTTTATCAAGAAGCCGACGTGTATTTACTCGATGATGTCTTTAGCGCCGTGGATGCTCATACCGGTTCAGACATATTCAAGGTAAGCACTACTAGATCTCTATGTTGATATCATCAGTTTTTTTAAAACCAAAACTAGAAAAAGCTGATTCTTGTTTCTTTGTGATGATGATGTGTCTGCAGAAATGTGTAAGAGGAGCATTGAAAGGAAAAACTGTCTTGTTAGTAACTCATCAAGTAGACTTCCTTCACAACGTTGATTGCATCTTGGTACGGTTCGACGGAACAAAAGATTAAAACCTTAGTTGAGTTTATCATTTAGGATTTTGCTAATGAGTGGTTCCATTTTACAGGTTATGCGAGATGGAATGATTGTGCAATCAGGAAGATACGACGAGTTAGTTAGCAACGGGTTAGATTTTGGGGCTTTGGTTGCGGCGCACGAGACATCGATGGAGCTTGTTGAAGCTGGCTCGGCATCGGCCGCTGCAACAAATGTGCCAATGGCATCACCAAGAACACAGAGAAATATTTCAATGGATTCACCTCGTCAACCAACGACACCAAAATCTCCAAAAGTACATCGGACAACTTCAATGGAGTCTCCAAGAATACAAAGAACTACTTCAATGGAGTCTCCTCGTTTGGGCGAGCTAAACGATGAACACATCAAGTCATTTCTCGGCTCCAACATCCCAGAAGATGGATCAAGACTGGTCAAAGACGAAGAAAGAGAAGTCGGACAAGTAAGCTTTCAAGTTTACAAGCTCTACTCAACCGAAGCTTACGGCTGGTGGGGAATGATTCTTGTTCTCTTCTTCTCTGTGGCTTGGCAAGGCTCTATAATGGCTAGCGATTATTGGCTTGCCTATGAAACATCAGCCAAAAACGCGGTTTCATTCGACGCTTCAGTCTTCATCCGCGTCTATCTCCTCATCGCTGCTCTTTCCATTGTCCTTGTGTGCCTCAGGGCATTTTACATCACTCACTTAGGCCTCAAGACTGCTCAGATCTTCTTCAAACAGATTCTCAACAGCCTCGTCCACGCACCAATGTCGTTTTTCGACACCACACCATCGGGAAGAATTCTCAGCCGGGTGAGAGAACTTTCTCCATTTAAGATATTAGAAAACGAGGAAGACTTCAATTTTAAAGATTATCTCTTTTTATATTTGGTTTGCAGGCATCTACTGATCAGACCAATGTGGACATCTTCATCCCCTTCATGATAGGACTAGTAGCCGCAATGTATACTACTCTGCTCAGCATCTTCATAGTAACTTGCCAATACGCTTGGCCAACTATTTTCTTTGTGATTCCGCTTGGATGGCTCAACATTTGGTACCGGGTAAGTGTCGCAAAGAGATGATATTATTCTGTTTTCTGATGCTAGATTTGTCAGTAGTTCATTGATGTTCTATGTTCAGACATCTCATTGGTATTTGTTGGATCCAACAGGGATATTACCTTGCATCATCTCGGGAACTAACTCGCCTTGACTCGATCACCAAGGCCCCAGTGATCCACCATTTCTCGGAGAGCATAGCCGGAGTGATGACGATCCGATGTTTCAAGAAACAGGAAATTTTTAGGCAAGAGAATGTGAGGCGAGTCAACGCCAATCTCAGGATGGACTTCCACAACAATGGTGCAAACGAATGGCTCGGATTTCGTCTAGAGCTGATCGGGAGCTGGGTACTCTGCATCTCTGCTCTGTTCATGGTCTTATTACCAAGCAACATTATCAAACCAGGTACACTAAGATTGACCAAGCTTGTTTAACTAGCTAAACATTAATTTGTTTTTCCATATGATGATTTTGTTTTTGGTCACGGTTCAATACAGAGAATGTTGGGCTTTCACTGTCGTACGGACTATCGCTGAACTCGGTTCTGTTTTGGGCAATATATCTGAGCTGTTTCGTTGAGAACAAGATGGTTTCAGTTGAGAGAATCAAGCAGTTCACTGATATCCCCGCGGAAGCGAAATGGGAGATAAAAGAGAACCGTCCACCTCCAACTTGGCCTTACAAAGGTAACATACGTCTCGAAGATGTCAAGGTACGGTACAGACCAAACACTCCTCTTGTGCTCAAGGGACTTACAATAGACATCAAAGGAGGAGAGAAGGTTGGTGTGGTTGGAAGAACAGGAAGTGGTAAATCGACATTGATTCAGGTCTTGTTCAGACTTGTGGAACCGTCTGGTGGGAAGATAGTCATCGACGGAATCGATATCTGCACTTTAGGACTTCATGATCTGAGGTCAAGATTCGGTATCATTCCTCAAGAACCTGTTCTCTTCGAAGGAACCGTGAGGAGTAATATTGATCCAACGGAGAAATACTCTGATGAAGAAATCTGGAAGGTTAGAGGTTTAAAATAAACTTTTTTTCGATTCTTGATTTAACAACATTGCATAAAATTGGTCTGTTATTTTCCTATTTTTTCTTTTGTTTACCAGAGTCTCGAGCGATGCCAGCTTAAGGAGGTCGTATCTTCCAAGCCCGAGAAGCTGGATTCTCTTGGTGAGTCAAAAAAAAAAAAAGTCGATAGATTTCGCTTGAGATCATAAACTAATAATAATAACAATAATAATAATGGTGACAGTGGCGGATAGTGGGGAGAACTGGAGTGTGGGTCAAAGACAGTTACTGTGTTTGGGAAGGGTGATGCTGAAACGAAGCCGTATTCTGTTTTTGGATGAAGCAACTGCGTCTGTTGATTCGCAGACTGATGCAATGATCCAGAAGATCATCAGGGAGGATTTCTCTTCTTGTACCATTATCAGCATTGCTCATCGCATTCCTACCGTTATGGACTGTGATCGCGTTCTTGTCATTGACGCAGGTAACTAGAAGAAAACATATATCACTCTTTTAATAAGTTGTTTATAATGTTTTGGTGTGCGTATTATTAAAACCGATTGCGAAAATTGCCATCTTTGAAAAAAAAAAAAAAAAACATTGTAGGAAAAGCGAAAGAGTATGATAGTCCAGTTCGTCTGCTGGAGAGACGATCGTTGTTTGCTGCATTGGTTCAAGAGTATGCTCTCCGATCTGCCGGAATATGAAACCCCCTTCTTCTTCTTCTTCTTCTTCTTTTTTTGATTAAGAATCATAAGACGTCGTCTCTATATTTTGATTCTGAATCTCTGCAACTCTTGGCAATTTATTCATAAATTTTCCAATAATCACATCACATGGCAACACTGTTCATGAAGCCATTCGAATCATCCAAGAGTTCTGGTCTGATTTTGCTCAACAATTTACAATTTTAATTTCGATTAAATTTTAACCCTAAATGATTAATTCCATACTGGTGTTATTATGAATTTAAAATCCTGTCTATTCAGTGCTACGAAAATAAATCGACTAATCTTAAGAAAAAACCGTGGACGAAGTATGGGCATTAGCTATTTTGCTTTTTAAGATAAACACTAGACATGTTATGAGGCTAGAGCTGATTCCTCGGAATCTTTGAAAACTTATAGAAGGGATCTTAGAGAATCTTTTTGTTTAAATGTAGACAGAGATTCTGTAAGAAATCAGAGGTTTAAGCTAAGACGAAATAACATTTGTCTTTTCAAAGTTTTTTTTTCTTTTTTTTTTACTTTCCCTCTGCGCATTATCCAGTTTTGGATTAGATCAAATATCCTTTACAATTTATCTTTTGGGTTTTCTCTATCGGTACATTTGATTGATACACACATAAAAGTTACTCTTTCTTTTTCCCCACGGCATGATCGTTAGGACGGGTTTGAAACTTGATCATTGCCGTTTCATAACTGTTTTGCTTTTAAGTCTCCAGTTTGTAGCTAAAACGGGAAAAAAGAAAGAAAATAAATTGATTTGTTTGTGTGTATCTTAGCGAAATGTAACCAAGACCGCATGAAAAGTAAATCGAGCTTACTTTTAAACAAAATTTGGGTTGGTACTCGGAAGAAAATAGCATGTTCTTCAATCTTCATATTCTCTCTCTCTTCTCTCTCTCTTGGTATTGCTTTTTGGTTAAAAGCTGATAGGCGTTTAATATTTGATTTTATCATTTTTATATACATTGTTGTCAATATTGTGAAATACAAAAAAAAAATATTGATATAATAAATAAAAACGGAAAACGGAAAAGTTAAAGTTGAAAATTAAATAAAGTAATTTTAAAAAGGGGGAGATGAATGAGCTGGCCACTACTTCTCGCGAAGTGTAACTTTACTGGCTGTTACATCATTTTCGCACGGTTTGGTCAAAATATCAAAACTTCTTAGATTACATACCAAAAAAAAATGGAAATAGTAATATCACCAAATATTGTTCTGCATTTAGAAGACGATTTATCATGTCAAAAATAAAAGAAGATAATTAATCAGCCTACACCGCTACACGCTAAGCACTGTTCGAACACCTAATGTGCGCCTAGCAGTATTTTAAACATTGTGAAGTACTACTAACTTTTGATCTTTCTTTTGTTTTTGTACTTATGAATGCATTATTAGTTTTCCGGAATATCTATTTTCCGACCTAACTCTTTTCCAAATGTTTCTTTCTATTTTTTCTCTTTTTCTTGACTATTAAGAAACCAGTCAGCTTTAATATAGTTTTAGTGGATAAATCTGTCAATCACATTTCCTTTTATAAAAAGCTGATAATCTGTATTGCATATTGATACTCGAATTGAAATTTAAGCTACTTTATGATAATTAAAAATGGATATATTTATGAATATAGATTGTGCAAGGAAATACGAAAGTTGCAATTAAAGTTAAAAAAGATGAGTAACTTTCATCAGTCGAATAAAGTATGATATTTCATATTTTCATGTTAGCCCGCACGCGCACGGCACATGGGGTATGTACAGTATTGCCTTTCTCTCAAGTTGGTGAATGTTTTGACTAATGGTCCGACCTTATCCTATTCATAATATCATATTTTCTTTTCTTTTTATTTTCTCTGATCAAACATAATGAAATAAAAAATGTTAACAAGGAAACAAGTCTAATTTTTTTGCTTGCTGTTAGAAATAAAAACACTATACACCCTTTTTACAAACCAATACGTACATAAGTGATTTTACCACCCAAACTATCTTCGGTCCCGGTCCGGGACCAGAACAAGTTGAACTAGTCACTTCTTTTCCTGCTTTTGTCTTCATTTGGGTGTTATCTATGTTTCCAAAATAAAAAGAAAAGGTGTTGCGACGGATAAGATATTATTATTTGGCCAGCCAAGATTTGATTTAACTGTATGGATAGTTGACAACAAATTCAAACTGTTCAAACTGTGGCTCAATTTAGAACTCAAAGATAAAACCGATAGTTACAAGACCAGTCTTGACCTCCATAATCAGTAATAAAGTCAAGCCAAAAAAAAAAAATCGACCATAACCATCTACACATGATATGTTACATCTCTATTTAGGCGCAAGTTACTTGCATACATGAATAGTAAAAGTTCGTGAGTCGTATGACTAGTGTAAATGAATCCATTCGTACCATACGGATGTCTAGCCTTCATATACAATTTTGTTAATTATCTGCTTATTTGCCTAGAAAAACGAAACACCGTAAGGGTTAGATTGGAAAATTCTGTACCGAGCTTGTGGAATCTTCAAATCATTTTGAGCCGTCAATGGCCATAGAAGTTCTTAGAAAGATCTTAAACATTATATTCAATTTTTGAGAATAACGTTTTATTATTGCATGTCATTTTAATAAATAATAATTGTAATGCAGAGTTGAAAATGGAGGAAAGTGGAAATACGAACGAGAAAAAGAAAGAAGAATTCTTTTTTCTCCCCTTTGACGTAGAGAGAGAAGAAGAATTCAAATGTTATTTAAAGTAGAAACAAGACAAAATAAAAGGAGAACGCATCTAAAATCCTCTTCAACGACAAAAATGTTAGTAGGTTTCTGATGTGTAAAAATGGTCTTAAAGACATTTTCTGAAAAAGACTCACCCAAATAAAGTTATATTTGACGGGAAATAAAAGTATATACAAAATACAGAAATGATTTATTTTAAAAAAATACAGAAATGATTTATTTTAAAGGAGAGAGAAAAAGAAGAAAGAAATAAAGAGCCGCAAGATTGGGACAGTCTTTCTCTTAGCATTTAAGCAAAACTTTAAGAGACCAGGCTTGAGTCCCATGACTCATGAAGTCCAAAAGCTATGCCTTACTACTAGTATATCTTATGGTTCGTTCGGTTTATATAGTTATCTGTATTTTTCAGTTTTGGATTGGACCATGCATTTTTCCCCCTAATAATGTGTTTCCATAGCTACTTGCTCTTTTTAGAATTTAGAATTCCAACATATAATATTGCTGAATGTAAATAATATGTTGTCTTTTAATTCGTTTCTTATATATATTTAGTGTAAAAATAAAAGGGTCCCAAAAATAAAACTAAATAGTTTGAAAAAATGCACAAGAGAGTCTAATGTGCATCATTTATTGATATCACTTTTAAATTTAAATAGAACGATGCGTTGCTACGGAAATTTGTCAATAAGTTTACATACATTTGATCTATATATATATGATGAATATGCCGACAATAATATTTCAATATCTCAAAAGTATTGGCAAGCAAGCAAGATGTTGAAAATCATAAAGCAAATAACGGTCAAAGGCTTGCTCAAAGTATGTCTCCACGATAATTATTATAGCTCACATCTGTAACAAGTGGGTTCAAAGCGCATAAAACTATTATTAGACAAAATTATATATGTTCTACTCCGTGAAACCGAAAAATAGGAAAAGGAAAAAAGAGTCGCGAAAGCTTTTATCGCTTTTTAAATATATTTTTTTTCCCAAATAGCAAGGTATATAACTCGTATAACGTTGCTTGAAAAATTGAAATGAACTAGAAATCCCCCGCAAAAAATTAAAAATAAAAAACATATAGAAATGATAGAAAAATATTAATAAAATAAAGAGAACCCAATAATTCAGAGATTGTCTATAAATAACAAGTTTCAAACCCACAGAATTAAGCACATTGGAAACTTCCCACTCTCGTCGTCTTCTTCTTCGTCTCACCCACTCACTTCATTCTCTCTAAAATCTTCTGTGATTCCTTCACTTTTCTCTCTCTCTCTCTCTAGAAAAATGGGCATCGTCGATGACAGCAGTAAGACACTCTGGGGAAGCATGACACATGGACCTTCACGTTACGCCCTTAACGGCAAAATCATGCTCGCTTCCGTAATTATCCTCTTCTTCGCTGTCATTCTAATCCTCTGTTTCCACAGCTACGCCAGATGGTTATTCCGCCGTCAAAACCGCCGTATTCGCCGCCGTATCAGTGCTCATCTCAGATCTCTCTCCGCCGCTAGAGATCCCACCCAATCCTCCTCCTCCCTCTCTCCTCTCGATCCGACTCTGCTCGAGAAAATCCCGATCTTCGTCTACTCCGTTAAAACCCATAAGTCTCCACCGGAGGAGTGCTCCGTTTGCTTATCGGAGTTTGAAGAAGAAGACGAAGGGCGTGTCCTTCCCAAATGTGGCCACGTGTTCCATGTTGATTGTATCGACACGTGGTTCCGGTCGAGATCTAGTTGTCCGCTTTGTAGAGCTCCGGTTCAACCCGAAATGCCAATTGCCGAAACCGGTTCGAGGATTTCAGAACCGGTTGCTCCCGTGTTTCCATCGGCTAAACCAATTGAAGATTCCGAAGCCGGAAGTTCGTCTTCGTCGGACGAATCCGAATCATCGACGCCGTCTTCTTCCTCTGGTTCGCCGTTGAGATTTCCGACAGAAGCTTGTGAGAGAGAACCGATTGATCTAATCGGTATAATTGTGGAGATTCCCAGGGAATTTGACGATTATAATTCGGGTCTACCCGGAGGTAACGGGTCGAATAATCCTGCTTTGTTGAAGAGGCTATGGAGTAATAATTGAATCACTATCCGGATTTTGGATACTGAAGAATCCGAAACGGTAATCGTGGAAACCGGGTGGGCAAGATTCGGATTCTGAAGAATCGGATAACGGACCCGGTAATCTGGGGAAGGGGGGGAGATTTGCATTACTGGCATGGGATGAAGACACGTGTTCGGCTTTGACGATCCACACGGCAATTAGCCCCAGATAAGAGACGGCGTCTGAGCAAATATGGACGGAAGTGATTTATAAAGTAACGGAGCTGCTCGATCAATGTATGATACGAGACGGTGTCGTTTAGGTAGAGAAGCAGTCGCTAAGCGAACCTTTCCCACCAAAACGATTCTTTCTTCTTTTCTTCTTTAATTGGTTGATTTAAGAATGTAATTAAAATAATTCAAATTAATCAACGGTTCAACGAAGCCATTTGATCGAGATTTAACTTATTTTTGCGATTAGAATTTTAAATCTTATTCATTACTAACGAATTATATATACTAGATGATTATACGGTGCACGGGATTTTTCTATGTGTTTAAAAAAAATATTTTTAAGATTTATTTGTAATTTTAACTAAACTCAATTCAAAATTTTATTTTTGAGGTTGTCATAGAACAATAATTGTTATTTAATTCTTTTAAAAGTAAATTTTTTATTAGTTTATTTGTTAGCTATTATTTTGTTTTCAAATAAGCCAATCAAACACATATTATACTAAACAAATCTAGAGTTGATAATCCAACAAATACAACTAAGTATAAAATATCAACTTATGGTTATAAACTCAGGAGGCATATCCTATATATAAATAAATAAATAAAGTTACTTGCTGTGATTTTCCTATTTTAATTGGTAAAGTCTTTCACAAACTCTTCCGATATAAAAAAAAATGAATATAATAGAGTTCTATAACTATGATATCCCAAATTGTATTAAACCCATGACCACTTTTCTTCACTAAGTTTTTAGTATGAAATCATTATAGATCTCACGTTGGAAATAGTCTTCTATGCAAAATCTTTCACTTGAATTTAATCGATAAATTTAATATTCGTTAACTAAAGTGAATTTAAAAACTATCAGCCCAAATTTTCTCAAAGTGGCGTCTTATGGTTCCATAGTTCCATATGCTAAATCTTAAGAACATTTGCATGTTTGAAAAGATGATCGAGGTTTTGGTCACACGATTTCATCCTCTTGACATCTGTTTACTTTTTGGGCTGCTTTATGTAAAAATAGAAAACTTTGGTACAGAAAATTGGCATATAAGCCCAAGTCTACTACTTTAGGCAAAATACATATAGAAATTGAAAAAAATTAAAAAAAAAATCCAAATCCTACAATTATGAAATTCGCCTGAAAGGTCTAAAATACGAAAAAATAATTTTAAAATCCAAACTCTACAGTTATAGGATTTTTATTTTATTTAAATTTTTTTCCAAAATAGTTACTTACTTCCGTGATTTTAGTTGTATTATTTCAAACTTTTTAAATTAAATAGGATTTATCAGTCCCTTCATTGGTTACAAATTTTGGTTTTTACATCTAAAGTTGTGAAGTTTTATGCATGAGAGAGACGTATTGGTAAATTTTACAAGTACTTCCCAATAATTTGTTGCATGAGAGAAAGACGACTTTTACAAAATAAAAATTCCTTAGTCATTAGTTATTACAACTAAAATATCTTCTTTCTCTAGATATGTTGTATTCACCTTCTTGACTCCTTTTAAAGGGATATTATTTGGATTTTTGAGCATACAAATAAGTTTGATTACAACAGAACAAGGATTTGTCAAGATTTATAATCTGAAGGCAACGTACAAACTTAAAATATTTGTAATCCAAATGCAGGTTATAAACAAAGAGATGATAATTCGCTTTTAGTTTCATAACTTTATGTTGTTGACTTTCTGAAATTCATTAGCCTTTTAAGAGATTGTGCACTTGATTATTTTGTTTTCTCAAATTACATTTGATTTTTTTGTTGGACCATCTTCATCAATAATTAATAAAATAAGAAGAAGTAATGGTTTATTTTTTCTCACTAAAATCGAAGCAGAAGAATTGTAACAAAAAAAAATACAAGAAGATGAGAAGTTTACTGTTTTTGAAAGTCTTTTATAATGTATTTAATGATTTAGGATTTTGATATTTTCTAAACAAATTATAAATTAATAAAATAAATTATAAATTATTTTATATTGTATTTAATGGTTTATGACTTTGGTGTTTTCTAAACAAATTAAAAATTAATAAAATAAATTATAAATTATTTTGTAAATCTGATATGTCAAAATAATAGATGCTGATGTGTCAAGATTGTGAGACACAACCCAACTTTTATATAATAGATTTGTAAACCTTGACTCATTACCGTTTTAGTCAAATGTTGCTCCAACCGTAAAATTGTTAGACATGTATAATTGTGTTCTGGGAAAACGCATATGCTACAATGTAGTAGTTACAAACCCTTCAAAATTTCTGAGAATTCTGATGTTCCCGGTTGTGAACTCATTGCTCCATAGTTTTTTTTTGTTACTTCTTTGAACTATGAATCTAGCTAGTAGTTCAAATACTAGCTAATTGATATATATTTTCTATTTTCTAATGTTAACATAATGTTATTTCCAGTGGACGTTTTTTTTTAATGTCAGTGAATGTATTTAATAATAAAAAAATCACGATTTTGTTTTTCCGCCAACCGTGGTTACTTATTTGCAAGCTACGAGTTACAAAATACAAATGAAGCAAGTCAAGCACCAATTGAAAATTCAATTTGTATTAAAAAATATTAAACGATAATTTTTTTTTTGGTAGACATAGAAAAACGATATATAATTTGAAACAAAAAAACATTTTTTCCGAAAAAGAAAAAAAAAACAATTTTAAAAGATTTATTTTAAAAGGGAGTATCCACATTGGTAGGGAGGAGTTATAACACAGTGACACGTACACAAACTGACGTGGACTCAAGAATCTTTGTGGGACCATCCGACAAACTCGCGTGCCGTGTGCATGGGTATAGAACTAAAATTGGAAGTGGAATCTGATCTAATTTCATACTCGTTTATAAAACAAATTATAACGACCAATTTTCATGCACCTTTAAAAAACCTATTTCTCATGCACATGTCTCCAATTTTTCAAATTGATTGGTGGGGACGAACGACCAATTTTATTATAAGGGATATTGATATAACATGTCGACCAAATTTTGTTGTTGTTATATAACGTATTTGACTCTCTTCTTTTCTTTCTATAACCCCAAATATTGTTAGAAAAGAGAATTGGAAAACATCATTCACAATATTTGACCTAAATGGCTGTAGATTTGGCTGTAGACTGGCATCGTTATTGTAGGAAAGGAGTTTTCGAGATGATTTCGTTAACGGTACAATATGGATATCATGTTTTGTTGGAGGAAAGGTCAAGGAGTTTGTATGATCCTTCATCTGATATAAAAATTGTTGGGGTTAATCTAAATCACATCAGACAAAAATGGTTTTATATAAAAATCAGATTCAGCTCTAATTAGTATGACACTTTTTAATATTGAGCCTAAAGAACATACATGTGACATGTGTGTGTTCTGATGTATTTCGAACATACAATATCATACTGTAATAAGAAAGTTGGACAAACCTAAAAATCCCGACAATAACCTTGACTACATTAACCTTAGAATAATTTTGCAACAATACCGTAGTGCACGATGCTTAATTATTATATATTAACTAACTAATTGGTGGTGCGGCATTAAACTTGACAAGGCAGTATAAGAAATTAAGAATACTAACTCTATAATGCTATATACAATGGCGAGACATGGACACATGGTTGCACGAATAAAAGAGTGCTTGTGATGTTGAGCACTAGAATATTCTATATAATCAGTTATTTAATTATACCGTGCAATCAATCTATGGTTAATGACTATAGCGCATTACACTCGTAAACTATATTGTTTATATTGGGTTTATAAAGAGAGACAAATCGTTGTTTATACATTCAGACACAGTGGTAACTTTTATATATCATCGATCAGGAACAAAATTATTATTAATATTATATAGATAAGCAGTCGCATGAATCAAACAAAGATTCCTCTTAAAATAATTATGAAAAAAAGCATAACCAAAAAATAGATTGCATTGGTAATGTAATGCAACGAATCAAATGAAATCAGTACAAATAGACATAAGAACATTTTAATGGAAAAAGTTTCCAAATAATAAATTGATTAAAGCGACCTCATATATAATGCATGCAACACCATCACCATATAATTGAACGATATCATGATCAGTATTTGGGAGTGGTGGGAGCAGCCTTGGGACCGGTGAAGTAGAAAGGTCCGACGCTAAAGAGCTTCAAGTTCTTGTCAGAGTAGTAACGGTATCCGTACATCGACAACGGAACTCCGGTGAGACCCTTGTTGACATTGGTCGGGTTCTTGCAAGTCTCGACCGGAGATGTGTAGAGCTTGACACGACAGTGAAATAGGTCGGTGATGTGGATCAAAGCCACGTGGAAGTATCCCTTAGAGTCAGTTGGATCGCTGTAAATCACAACCTCCTTGTTGCTCTTCCCGTATGAACCTGGCTCGGAGCACACAATCTTTGCCTTTGCTCCTACATGTATTTAATTAACCGATTTTGTTGATTGGTGAATTATGTTATTATCATATATATTTAGTTAGGAGGCTTAAGTATGTATTATACCTTGAATTGGGTAGGTTTCGTAACCGTTTTTGCAGAGGATGATGCCATCAACGGCTTTAAGAATCTCTGGGACGTATGGCTTGGTGGGTGGAGTGTAGGTTGGTTTTGGGACATA